AGAGAGAGAGAGAGAGAGAGAGAGAGAGAGAGAGAGAGAGAGAGAGAGAGAGAGAGAGAGAGACAAAGAGAGCAAGAATGTGTGTTTTCTCTGCAAGAAATCACTTTGAAGTTGCAGAAAGTTCCAGGAGTTTCCTGTTAACAAGCCTGGACTATAATATGAACCAGGAATGTGTGTGTGTGTGTGTGTGTGTGTGCGTGTGCGTGTGCGTGCGCGCGCGTGTGTGTGTGTGAAATGAGGAACGTCCCTGCAGTCAGTCTGAGACTGGCGAGAAGGAGTTAACATCCCAGGTTTCCAGATTCACGCAGAAAAGCTGCAACGTTCAGAGGAGCTCTGATTTTGGATTCAGATCATGGAAACCTCTCACCTGGAACTGTTCTGTGCATTTTAAATCTTTATTTATTTTTTCTTTCAAACAATTGGCTATTTATTCCTGCCTGTTTCAGATGTAGCCAAAGCTTTTCAAGAGCTAGCAGCAGTGAGAATACCACAAATGAGCCTTTTTTGTTCCAAATGAGAATTTGTAAGCTTTGGAGTTGATCCGATGAATCACTGAGTCGATTCATCAGTCATGTCAGGAAAGATGCTTTGTTCTTATACCTCACACCTGATGTTATTAGCTGCGCTGTGCAGCCTTCTAAGCTTGAGTTCGCTTGCTGCCTGGCCGGGAGCTTCTGGAAGTAAACCAAAGGATCAGTTGGATCCAAACGTGAGAGACTGGGGAGACTACTCAGATCTCCCTGCTGGGATCCAACATGGACTGGGACTGGAAGAGGACAGAGAACGTGAAGACAAGAGGGGCGCTGGAGGATCTTCATCAAACTTGGCTCCAGAACTGGATTTTTTGGCCGACTTTGCAGGCAGATAATAAACAATTCACTGTCTTGTTTTGCCTAGTTTTTTTTGTTTTGTTTTGTTTAATGTTTCCAACCCCTTTTATAGTTCATGCAACTCTAATGTTCACTCCAGGTAAAAGGCGTCTGTGGGTGATAACAGCTTCATCACACAACGATCACTACCTTCAGATGATGGAGAAACAGTTAGAAGATGTGGAGCAGGCAAAGTGCTTTTATTATTCTAGAAGAAACTTAAAACGTTTTCATTTATTATTATTATTATTTTGTTTAATTTCAGGGTTTTGCACCTTTTTACCCATTGGTCGTTTCTTTCTCAATCCTTCCCAGAAAGGGCTGAACTGTGGCCTGGCGGAAAGAGACACCTTCATCATAACAATCATCCAGAACGCCATGATGGAAGGCCGCATTCAGAAAAGCACTTTTCAAGGAGACGCCACAGTGGAGAGCTTGGACCCGGACACAGTCACCAAACTGCTGCACTATCTGGATCTTACCAGCCCAGTAAGCATCGCTTCTGTTATTTACCCAAAAGGTTTCAGTCGTTCTGCTTCTGACTGAACCAACCGTTTCAGGATCAAACCTTCACCATGCTGGTTATGAAGAAGAACCTTCATGTCACGGAGCGTTTCCCCTATCCAGTTCGAGTTGATGCCATTTTTGATTTGATCGATCAGTTCCCTGTGAGGAAGCTGGAGAAGATGACCAGAAAAGGATCTAACTTGAGGTTCCATCTGGGTTTATTGTTGTTTTAGTGAACTCACGGGTTCCCTCAACATTCAGATCAATATGAACCAAAGTTACCATTTTAACTAGAAAGTTTCAAACTAAGCAGTTCACATTTTTCACAGTTTAGTCCTGCTGTCAGTTAGACCACTGAATAACATCAACCATTTTCTACAACAGTGATTCCCAACCAGGGGTATGCAAGCATATTACAGGGGGTACGTGGAAAAAAAWTCCCAGGTGTGTAAAAAAAATAACAATAGGATTGAGGTAAGTAGGGCCCTATGATTTCCGCAAACGGAATCACGGAATTGACACAAAATGGAATCCAGTATAAAACGCGGAATCTCTTTCAAGGCAACGTTTTTATCTTTGTTTAATTTGAGTTGAAAAGAATAAAATGCCTGATAATTAAATGTTCTAGGGAGTTAAATAAATAATTTTCATTCAATCATCAGCTGTTGTACATTATAGTTTTGGAGAATCATCATTACATTTGACAGAAGGGGTACTAGCGGTATGACAAAATGGCTCAGGGGGGGACACAAGTCTAAAAAGGTTGGGAACCACTGCGTTACAACACTGAGRCTAAAAGAGCAAATATTCTCATTAAACAAGAACTCTTGTCTTTATGGAAGGAGTAAGTTCAATTCCTCAGAAATGATTATGTGTAAAAACCACAAGATGATTCAGTAACATTCAGAGTTTTWTTGTGTTGATGATTTAGGTGTAAAACAACCAAGAAGAAGGTTGTTGCCAAACGAAAAAAGATCATAAAGAAGATGGTGCTGAGCCCCCAGAGTGAAGGAAATGGGAACTCATTCGTGGCTTCACAAAGGAAACCTCTGGACAAAAAAGCGGTGGTGAAGAGCAAAATCCAGGACATATTGAACGGTCGGTCGAGGTTTGTGATCCGTAAAGGGTCTGCTGAACCCACGAAGGGAAAGGAGCTAAGCAGGAACACCTGGGGAGGCTCTAAAGGATCCAGTCCTCCATCTGTTCCACAAAGTAACGAGGATAAAAATGCAGACAAGTATACGCTCATGTCCATGTGACTCTTATTTTCATTTATTTAGTAACTGACACATAAATGTTGAGCTTAAACCTTCTAATGAATTTATTTGTTTCGCAGGCCTCCTTTCATAGAAGAAGGAAAGAAACAAAGCGGAGGCATAAACAGCAAAGATAAAATTGAAGCAAACGAAAAGACTGATTCTCACAACAAAGAGAACACCAAGAAAAAGGGCAAAGGAAAGAAAGGAAAGAAAGGGAAAGGACGAGGAAAAAAATCAAACAGAGAAGTGAGTGAAGACGACAAAGCTGTCCTGGGGATGTTTTTGGACAGTTTAAGAGGGTCCAGAAGGCTGATGGTGAGACCCTTTTGTTCATCGTGTTTTCAGCATCTTTACTCTCTTTATGTCTCCGAGTCTATCTTTTTTTTTAACTCTGTTGCACAATAACCACACTGTCTGCATTAAAAACACYGAATTGCACAACTGATCTGGACCTCGGTACAAAGAAATGGGCCTGTTTTTCTACACCAGCTAATCTCAACGCCGAGCAGAGATGCAACGTTGTACATCCAACAGACCGAGGAGAACAAGAAACAGCACTGTGAACTCGCTCTCAGGAAGATTACTGTGGCAACGATGGTTGGTGAAGGAAGTGCCGCAACGCTGACGCTGCAGCATCATCAGCTCGGTAAGTTTATGTTACAGGAATATTTGCATCTAAAGCTTCTGGTTTTTATGGTTCCTGGATTTAATCTTGAGTTTTCAGGGAAAAAAATCATACAGACAATATTTGTTTTATTAGATTTGACATTAGAATACAGAACCACTGATGGACTATTGTATTTATTCACAAAAGTATAACTAGAGGGAAATATGGTGTTTCCACAAAACAAGACAAAAATAAAACAGTGTGCTGTCTTTTGAATGGGACTGTGAGTTGTTCTCTTTACAAACACAATAAAGCAGAAGGTTAAATTAAAACACATGTTCAGCATTTGTGACTTAGAGCAGTGTTTCCCAAAGTTGGGGTCGGGACCCAAAGTGGGGTCCTGAAACATCAAGGTGGGGTCCTGAAAAGATTTTCTAAATTAATTACATTTTTTGCTTTAGTTGCTTAAAATGTATAAATGTAGAATAATTAATATTGTTACTATGCCCATGTTTAGTTGACCTGATACAAATGTTTATCATCCAAAAATAGTTGTGGGMACAGGTCTCTGCTACTGTTATTTTGTGGGTCAAAAGCTGAAAAGTTTGGGAACCACTGCACTTCAGAAATCAGTTTAAAGGGTAATAAAATAATTGGTGTTGTAACATTTTCCCTTGAATTATTACAAAAAAAGTATAAAAAGTATTGATATTTGTGTAGCCTTTGTTTTTAGGGTTATTAACGAGGTTCGTGTACTCAGACCAGTAATATTTGGGGTCACAAGTTTTCGCCATGAATATTTTGTGGGTCAGAAGATAAAAAGTTTGGGAACCACTGACGTAGACTGACAGTTAATGGAAAATGCAAATGCTGCCTTCCTGAAATTTGGTATGCTTGTTTGTCTTTGTGTCTATGGTGTGTAATGATATGATTGTGATGCTGTAATTCTGAGTGTTTTATGTGCTGCAGAACAGGAACCTGCTGTAAAACAATTATGCTGAGTCAGGCTTGATTTTTAGTAATCTTTTCCTGTTGAATCAATAAATTATGTAAGAAACCACCCCATGAAATTAGGACCAGCCCAATTTCACAAAATAGTCCCTCAAGATCTTTGCATTATGAAATCTCAGACACTGATGAAAATGCACCTCTGATCATGAATGAGAAATGAAAACTTGTGACCTGAACAGATTTCTCAAAATAAAGTAATTTATTTTTAGATATATGAACAGGATTAAACACACAAACATTTATTAAAAATATTAYATGAATAAATGAACACAAGTTATATTTTCGACATAAAAATTCTACCTCAGAGTTGTCACAAACAGTAAATTCCAGGTATTGTAACTTACTGGCACGCTGCTTAACTAAGTTTTAAGTAAATAAGAGAATAAAGGTAAAGATTTAAGCTTTAAAGATAGGAGGAAAAGAAATTAGTGAATTTAGCATTTGTTCTTCATAAGTCAAGACCAGACCAGCACAACAGCATGTCACAGACGAGACACCTCCGGGGCTAGACTTCAGCGTTTATCTCAGCAAACATGTGTTCTACCTTTTTGATGTCTTCAGACAGAGCCCACAGGCAGGTAGAMGGTTTGTGAGTGACAGCCTCATGAAGTCCGCAGGATGGATAATGTCTGCTCATGACAGCAGGGGTTTGAGAAGCCTCTCGTCTCACCCCAACGAGCCTCAGCGGGCTCCCGGCGCTGGCATCAGTCAGTCCATTTGCTTCTCGGCAGTAAAATTAGGTTAGTAACATTCATCCAGACAGGTGCCCAGATGGAAACGCACCCTCAGAGAGAACCAGTCAGCACCATTTACTCCGACGAACAAACAAGAACAACTCAACTGGTGTCAACGGTGTGAACAGAAAGTTAGTTCTTTGAGAGAAAAAAGAGAGAGAGGAAAAACAATCTGTTTTTCCCACACTTGCGCGGCCAGCTGGTGTTATCTGCAAAAGACCTTGGAAGTCTGGAAAGACAGACTAACTGTCGTACTTAAAATCACTTCACTGAGGTTATACATCACACCACCACTTTGCACAAATGGATTAATAGTAAAAATTAATAGTACACAATTATTAATCTTTAAACCAATTAAGAAAAATGATAAGACCATGATTAATAAACCAGTACTAAGAAAAAACAGTAAAACACATTTCAACTCTTTTTTCTTCACATAAAGAGAGATGCAAAGATTAATTCAATAAAACTTTGAGTAATGATATATTGATTATAACCTAACCTCTAATAGAAGATTAAATGGAAAAAATATATAGAACATATTGTTCTATTCACTTAAAGAAATAGAAACAAACTTTAAAATGACTTTCTTCTTATAAGTGTAAAAGTAAAATCAACGACAAAAAATAGAAATGTTTATTTCACCAGGGTTACCCCTACAATTAAATCAAATCAAATCAAATCAAATCTTGTGCTCATACTCAAAGCTGGATGAAAAAATTGTTGAAAAATATATAATATGTATTCATTTTTTCCCGAAGTATAACCTGCTGCTGTTTGAGAGCTGTTTATATTGAATTAGTTGTTTTGTCTGTTTTATCTTTGTGTCTCAGAGTCAGAGTCTTCCCTCAGCGACCAGTCAGAGCTGACCTCAGATGCTCGTCTGATACCTCTGTTGAGAGCAGAGCTCGGCTTGTCATCTTCCGATCTTTTTTCGATGACGGTCACAGATTATGACATTAAACAAAAAGTAAGAAAGCACCTCCTCAACAAAGCTTCTTTGATGGCTTTATGTTTGGATTTGACAGCTTCTATTCAGCAGTGGGAAAGGGTGGATTGCTCTCTCTGGGTTGGGGTGAAGTTCTGCCTCAAGTGGAGGAGTTCAAGTATCTTGGGCTCTTGTTCACGAGTGAGGGAAGAATGGAGCTGGAGATTGATAGATGGATCAGTGCAGCTTCTGCAGTTTTACCTACTCTGTACCGGTCTGTTTTGGTGAAGAGGGAGCTGAGGTGTAAGGCAAAACTCTCAGTTTACCGATCAGTCTACATTCCTACTCTCACCTATGGACATGAACTTAGTGACCGAAAGAATAAGATCGAGGATACAAGTGGTTGAAATGAGTTTTCTCCACAGGGTAGCTGGACTCTCCCTTAGGGTAAGAAGTTCAGTTATCCAGAAGAGACTCAGTAGAGTCACTGCTCCTCCACACAGAGAGGAGCCRGTTGGGGTGGTTTGGGCATCTGTTTAGGATGCCTCCTTGGATACCTTCCTAGGGAGGTGCTTCAGGCATGTCCAACTGGGAGGAGACCCCGAGGATGACCCAGGACACTGGAGAGATTATGTCTCTCAGCTGGCCTGAGAACACTTTGGAGTCCTCCCAGAAGAGCTGGAAGAGGTGGCTGAGGAGCTGCTGCCCCCACGACTCGACTTCAGATAAAGCGGAAAATGATGGATGGATGGATGGATGGATGGATGGATGGATGGATGGATGGATGGATGGATGGATGGATATTCAGCAGTGGTCTTACAAACAGTCACACACATCAGACAGTCTGATTTTTAGAAGCAAAACTGATTCTAAATGTCAAGAATCAAGCTGGCAGGATTTCTTTTTAACATATTCAACAATATGCAGTACATTGCATAAGGTTTTAATTTGTAACCACAAATTAAATATATGTATGTGTGTGTTTGTGTGACAAACATGCTTGCCAAGATGTTATTTGTCTGTTCTGATTCTGTTTTTTACTCTCTCTCTCTAACTTGTTCATATCTTTGCCACAGAGAGTTTTTGAGGCTCCTCCATCAAGTCCAGCTTTGTTCGGTTACATCGACAACTTTTCTTCAAGATATTCAGAGAAAGACAGAGAAAGGAAACGTCCTCCAGTCTGCTCCACAGAAGTTCAGGAGCCTGTGGTGGAAGATTCACTGCTCAGGTGGGCAAATAAAACACTAAACCTGATTTGATTATACATACTGTATATATAGTGTCAGCTGTGCACTTTCTGGAAATTGAGTGTTAAAATTTTGTAAGTATAAGTTAGAAATGACATTTTAGGTAATGTTTGTTTTTACTATAATAATGGAACTCAATATTTAATCTCAATATGTGTTTTATTAGAGTATTTATGTGTTTTATGGTGTTGTAATGTGTCTAAGTCTGATGCCCAAGTATTAAAAAACGCTGTTATTTAATTGTTTTTATATTTTTGACCCAGATTCATTTCTAAAAGAAGACTGCTGCTGATCTCTGCTCCCTCTGAGAATGATTACTCTTTCCAGCAGCAGATTTCTGCTCTCAGTGGACAGGAGTGTAACCTTGGTAAATGTCCCGTCACATCATCTGCATTCATATTTGATGCTTTTTAAGATATTTATTTATTTATTTACTTACTTACTTACTTACTTACCATTATTTAACCAGGCAAGTCCCGTTGAGATCGTAGATCTATTTTTCAAGGGAGGCCTGGGCCTGAAGGGAACCTGTTGTACATGCTTTTGGGGGTGGGGGAAACCGGAGAACCTGGAGAAAACCTGCTCAAGCATGAGGAGAACATGCAAACTCCGCACAGAAAGACCCCAGGTCCAAACTGGGGATCGAATCCAGGACCTTCTTGCTGTGGGGCGTCAGTGCTAACCACTGAGCCGCTGTGCTGCCCATAAGAAGATGTTGCAGCATCAAATTTCACTTCTGACCACTAATCAGTGTGCATTGCATTGGCAATGCACACTGATTAGTGTGCATTGCTATTCTTTTCCTGTTTCTCTTTATTATCAGTGTGCATTGCCAATGCAATGCGCACTATTGTGATTAGTTTCCCATCCAAGTCATCTCAACTTTGCCATGCTTCTCCTCCTGCATACTTTGTCCTAGAGCTGCCATTGTAATTTATATCTGTRAAGCCCCTGTGCCAAATGATGGCTATGCCTTTTGGTGCCTGTAAAACTTATAGTTTTTGAAATATTAATGTTTCATAAATTATAATGGCAGTCAATGGAGCCTTGAATTGGTCCATTACTGCCCCCTGCTGCATCTACACAATGTGGTACTGCACCATAGTTTCATAATATTTAAACTCAGTAGTTCAGTGATTACAATATTAATATGATTGTAKTTTGATGTTTTTCTGTAATACTGTCTTTATGTTGTCCTATTGCTGTAATATATTGCACTTAAGTGTCAATAATTGCATTGGCAAGGTAAACTTTTTCTGTATACATACAATCCAATCCCTGGGATTGTCCTCTGCCACATCTCCTATATAGTCTCGTGATGAGCACTGTGGGCTTTCATGTGGGAGATCAGGGTTCAAAACCTGGCTAATGCAAAGTTAACAAAAATCTCTTCCAACTTCATAGTGTCACTCAATTACCTTAATTGCAAACACCTGCTGACGTGACAGCCACAACCTGGTATAGAAAACACATTTGAACTTGGTCCCATTTCATTTTGCAAGTCCAATGCTGCAGGCAAAGCCATGCTGCAATGACATGCAATGTGGCAATGCACACTTGCTTTTACATCGTAAAAACCCATGTCTAGTTCAGCTTATTATTCCGTCTTCTTCCACGTCGCCACGCTACTCCTCCTGCATACTTTTTCCTACAGCTGCCATTGTAATTTCTATCTGTAAAGGTCCTGTGCCAAATGATTGCTATTTCTTCTGGTGGCTGTGAAACTTGCAGTTTTTGAAATATTAATGTTTAAACTTAATTCCAAAATTCATATAATGGGAGTCAATGCAGCCTTGTAATGGTCCAATACTGCCCCATGCTGGACTCAACTTGGTACTGCTCCATACTTTAATAATATTTCATCTCAATTGTTCAGTGTTTACAATACTAATATTATTGTATTTTGATGTTTTACTATGATATTGTCTTAATACTGCTCTATTGTTGTAATATATTGCACTTAGGTGTCAATAATTGCATTGACAAGGTAAAAGTTTTCTGTAAACATACAATCCAATCCCTGGGATTGTCCTCTGCCACCTCTACTACAGTCTCATGATGAGCACTGTGGGCTTTCATGTGGGAGATCAAGGTTCAAAACCCGCCAAAACAACTTTAACAAAATGTCTTCCAACTTCATATTGCCACTCAATTACCTTAATTACAAACACCTGCTCATGTGACAGGCACAAGCTGGTATAGAAAACACATTTGAACTTGGTCAAAGTTCATTCTGCAAGTCCAATGCTGCAGGCAAAGCCATGCTGCAATAACATGCTACGTGGCAATGCACACTTGTTTTTACATCGTAAAAACCCATGTCTAGTTCTAAACTGTCATTTACTTGATGCCTCAAATGAAAACATGCATTTTGACCTAACACTGTTTATTAATTTAAACAAGGTGAAAGAAAATCATGATCAATAAACTGGAAGTCTAAATTAAATAGCAGAAAACTTTGATTCTCTTCCAGAAGGCTTCATTCTCATCTGACTCCAATCAGGCCCCCCAGCAGCCGGCCTCAGAGAAAAAGGCCTTGGGTCTTGTCAGAACCAATAACAACCTTCTCTAACAGATCTCCTGAGAGACTGGTGAATCAACCTCTTAACATATACATCTGACTTCCTGGTCACACATGGAGGTGTTTTTACATCAGACATTAGAACGTAACCATCTTTGTTTATTTTACAGAGAAAAGGAACACATTGATAAGACACACTGATTGTTTAAACCAGATATGGCTATGCRAAGTGACTGCATCTAAATTCAGTTAATCAATCACAAAGTTTCCTTCAAAGGGAACTTGTCCATCAACTTGTTTTAAGCTCTTATTGGTAAAGCATGATTTACATGTTCTTTACTTTTAGGTATTCGTCACTTTGCCATGTTGAAACTGACTGGAACTGGTGAAAAAGCATCCGGAACTGTTGAGCTTTTGCCTCTAAATGGTAAATAACAATAAGGCAGAACGTCAGCATCTTTTTTTTTTTTTTTTTTACTGATTTTGTTACATAAAGTACACTATTTAACTTTCAGTGTGTCATTCTCCCTGCAGGTCGTAGTCAGAGTGAGGTCGAGCCATTGTCTCGCGACATGGTCAACAACCTGAGAGAGCAGCTGAAGATCAGCAAGGACTATTTCAGTATGCTGGTTGTGGAGAAGGACGGCGACGTCAAGGCGTGGTTCCCATCACCCCTGTGGTCCCTGGATAACATCTACGACCTGGTGGACTCGTTGGAGCTCCGCCTCCAGGAGGCAAAGCTCCAGGAGAGACTGGGGATCCACTGCCCTGAGGACCGGGGAAGAGGAGGAGGCAGAGAGGAGGGCCACTATCGGGGGTATGATGAAGACAGAGCAGAAGAGACACACATGTTTAACAGATGAAGTTCATGCATCTGTTGGGCAGAACAGTTAAAAGGCTAGACATTATGTAGAAATGGAAATAAAGCAAAAAAACAATGGAATGCTTTAAAAGAAAAACATGAAAGCGTGTGCACAAGTTTCAATAAAACAGCTGAAGCCACAGTGATTTTTTTCTGTTTGGCAACATTTCTGTACAGTTTCTTTTTTAAAGCAGCTTTAATGTTTATAATAAACAAAGGAAATTCCAATGTTAACTTTAGATTTCTGGAACTGAAACAATATTTCAAAATAAACAGATGAAATTGTTTTTTATTCTGATTTTGAGAATTTTTTTTGTTCGTTTGTTTTTTTTTTAGAAAAAAGGCCTGCAAACAATGCTCTGAGTTCTCTGAGTAGTAATGTTAGTTTTTTAAAAGGTTTTGGGTTTGAAAATCAATTTATAAAATAGATCTTTRGCTAATATTATAATGCAAAAATCACATCTATTAATTTAAATGATTGGGGGAGAATCAAAACRGGATGCAGAGATTGAAAGAACTTTAATGTTTAAACGTCTTCACAGGCTGATCATGTAGTGTCAAAAAAGACAAAAAAAAAACAGATTTTCTAAGAAAAGTTCAACTGTGTGAAACAAAGCGGAGACCATTTACAAACCAGAACTCTTTAAAAACTGGTTTGTCCAGCTGGACTACTCAAACACTGTATGAGTCAATGCACCGTGCTCTGCAATGGACTTCAGGACTTTAATAAAGATGTAGCAAGATCCCATGATGAACACACTAACCCATTTGTGATGGTGGAGACTCTGGCTGTGGATCTGCAGGATCTGCAGGATCTTTGCTTTCAGCTGCAGCACTGGGGCATTGTGGCAGACCTCCTAGAGCAGGGGTGCCCAAGCATTTTCCCTGAGAGGGCCAAGATTAAAATCAATCTGAGGGTGGTGGGCCAAATGCAATAATAAAATACACGAAATGCAAATACTTCAAGTAAAGTTGTATTTTTTATGATTAAGCTAGCAGCCAGTGCGGTTGCACTCATTTTTTGTTTGTTTTTTCAGCCCATGGACATGGAGAAAATTCAACGTTTGCTCGGTAACAAAGGCTCATGGGACTTTTCATAATTTAAAATTTGAGTACCCGGTATATGTGGTCTTATAAGGTGTGGAAATCTAGGCATGGACTTAAATCTAATATAAATTCTCTTGAAGTTACTTGTATTTTAAGTTTAATCTTAACATATTTCAAGGATAAGGTACCACCATGAGTTAGGACTATCTGACTACAGCTCCTTGTACCTATAGTTGGACCAATGGTTGAAAAGACTAAGTCTAAATATAGTATTTCTACATAAGACAGGAGATTACAATCTAGGAACCAGGACAACTTCTAGTGGGCCAAATCAAATGGCTTGGCGGGCCAAATTTGGCCCGCGGGCCCCACTTTGGGCACCTCTGCCCTAGAGAAACCAGACAACAGGAAGCCCTTCTTGTTTGAGGTTATTTTAAAAAAAAGGGACTCCTCCTCCACTAGAYTGTCTGTCAGGTTTTATGCAACTGGACTGGAAAACATGTTCTAGCCYATCACTCAGCAGAGGAGTTCTGACAACGTTCCAAAATCTCCTCAAATGAAGGCGAGTGCTTCAAAATTGACTTCCTTCTGCTTGACAAAAGGACAACTCTTCTGTTTCTCATTTATCGTCTTGATTTGTATGTTTTTCTCTGCAGTCCTTCATTTATTGCTTCAATCTAAACCCTGAAAAGCTACATTAAACACTTACATTTGATGCATTTAAGCTCATCAAATGAAATAGACTATTTCACAAAATACACTCTATGCGCAAAACTCCACTTTTTCTTTTTGTACTTCATGAAACCCAGCATTAAATTATTTACACCTTTGCAGATGATTTTACTGCATCGTTTATTTCTATGTCTTCACAGTAACACAAATAGATTGTGTAGCTGTGCCTACGGGCATGTAAAAAAAAGGCAACTACTTACCATAACTTCCTGCTGTGGAAAAAAAAAACTTCTGAGTTCAAAATTAAAGAGACAACCTACAGTTTTTGGATGGGCTTTTATTTTGAAAGATGTGTATGCATATCATATTTAACCACAGAAATGACACACACCAAAAAAAAGCTGAATAAATAAGTCATAAGAAATAAACAATGTAGAATAGCATGTGCTGTGTTGTTTTTGTTTGCGTTGACCAGCCGTGGCCAATAACAACTCCAAAACTGAGTGAAACACTGAATTTTATTTTTGAAATATTTAGTCAGTAGTCACTCAGTAATAAATGAACAGAAGCAGAATAGTAGGCGTAGTGTTATAGGGTATGTTCTGAATGCAGCACAGCAGAGGACCTACAGTAACAGAAAAGACAAGCAACTCTGCTGAAAGCGAGCAAACTGAGTCAGACAACAATCAGGAACAAACAGTGATCACAACAAGGCAGAAGTGAAAGGCAAACAGAGCAGCATAAAAACAAGTGAAATGCAGGTGAGTGGCAATCAGAAAAGGTAAAACAAYCCAAAGTAACCAGGACAGACAAGTTCTACAAAGACAACAGTCAGACCACAAGGGAACACAATAACACGGTAAAACGAGCATCAGACTAACTGAAACAACTAAACATTATGGTGCGACAGCGTCAGAAAGCTGGACAAAAGACAAAACAACTGAGCAAAACAGAAACTCATCCTACACTGTTTTGCAGTAGAATTTGCATCATGGTACACTGCACCTCCCACAGTCCAGATAACTGCACCGATGTGGATCAGAGGCTTTAGGTTGTTGTAGGAAAAACTGGCTCCCAGTCAATACATCCTGCAGAACTCTGCACACAACAACCTCACTTACCCTCTGATGGAACATTAATACATTCTGATGCAAAACAGGCCATGTTCWCAGCCATCATTTCCTTTTAATTCTGCAGAAGGAGCATCGTGAATTTGAAATAATAAAGCAGGAAAACCTTCATTCGTTTTAACTATGCTTGGACAAAGTCCCGTCTGAAAAACAATGATAACATCTTCTATATCAGGAAATGAGTCATCACTTGCTCATCATTTTTGTTTCTGCTGTTTTGGAGCACTTTAACGTTTTTTTAAGTTTTTTTTTTATGTTCCAACGAACAAAAATGGTTTTTGACACAGAAATCCTATTACAAATAAAGCAATGTTCAGGATCTACAAAASCTTCCTTTCAGAATTATCACTAACGCTGCTGCAGCAGGCGAAAGGATGACTATGGTTGTGTTTATTAGTCTGCACCATCAGCAACATATCTCCTGAGCCACCAAAACAGATTTTAATAATCATCAATCAGTCAGCTCGTTACAGCCACATGTTGTCTGTATGGCACCTCCAGTCCATCTGCATTATTATTTTTTTTTATTTCTGACAAAACAATTAATTGTTTAGAACCTTTCCACAGAATCCCACCACAAAAACTTTTCTTTTAAGGTCAATCTGTGTATTTTGTTTTTTTTTTTATTGTTAACCAAACCATCTTTATAAGATTAACGGTGTATAATTTTGTTGCTTTGGAACTGTTGCCATGTTTTGTCCTTTTTTCTCTGTCTGATYGGAGATCATTTGTTAAGCTCAGAGGATAACTGCAGAGAGTTTGCCACAGATAGGCAAATCCATGAGATGTAGATAACAGAGGCTGCAACACTCATTCTCACAGAAAGGACCCACATACACGCACACACTCACGCACGCACGCACGCAGATCACTGGCAGAGGAAGTGGTCAGTTGTAGACAAACACTCATGTCACAGCCAGATCTGGAGTTTACATCCACCMACAAACACACAGAGCCCCACAGTCGGTGTTTCTCTCTTCGTCACTCAGTGTGTCTCAACTCCACAGAGCAGTTCTGTCTTCGACAGCAACGGACACAGAACAAAAACTCATCCTTTCTTCATCCAGTAACTCAAATTGGACTGTTGTCGCAAARATGGTGAGTACAACTTCAGCTAAAACTGTTTAAATGATCACCATTTGGATCCTCAAATAGTTTCATAAGTTTATATGATCTAATGATCTAGAGTTATTTCTTTGCAAGACAGTTTTTATTATTGACAACTCTATAAAGAGAACATTTACTCTTTTATAAGTCAACTGTTTTGACTGGAAAAGTATTGATATTACAGGATTCTCATTTTCAACATAAAACAGACACATTTTCTCAATTTTATTCTAAATTTGATAGATTTTCTTACGTTTCTCCTCATGTACGTTATTTTAAAAAAAGAAAAACTCACAATTAAAGTTGCACTTCTGGTTTTTGAGTCAGCACGGACAAAGCTTCTCTGTTTTTCACTTTTTGTCTCTGAAAATAAAAACTAGTTCCTGTATATTTTGTGCAGACAAGTTTACTGTTGCAAATGCTTTTTTAGCAGCTTATTCACTTGCATTGACATGGTATTGTTCTTTATTTTTGGAAATGCAAAACTTGCTAAACTCAGTGATAGTTCAGAAAAGTGATGTAATCTCAACTAACAGCACACTGCTGCAGTTTGCACAACTTCCTCAGTTAAAATATAAAAATATCTGTAACTGAACAGGTTAAAGAGGTCTGGCTATTTTTGAAGCGTCAAATAGTTTTGACTACCGGTACTTAGTACCTTATCTGTTGTTACATCAGTCATGGAAAGTATGATGAAAATGTCAGAGGTCTTCCTCCAGGCTAATGGCTAGACAAACTATGGCCTGTTTTATGGTGTTTTTCTGGCTTTAAAACAAGTTTTTCTCAGAAATGTTATGATGTGAAAGAATGCTACCTTAGCTGATGTTAAAACTTTGCACTTTGGCATTGTAAAAAAGAAAAGGTACTTAATCAAGTCCCCATGGACTCCAAAGTGCTTCACAGAGTCATTCACACACTTATCATGGTCAGTTGTGTTGTACAGCCACAGCTGCCATGGGGCACACTGATAGGGGCAGGGCTGCCATGCTCCGGACCCTCCGACCACCAGCAGCAGGCAAGATTGAAGTGTCTCAATGACTGAAATGGACAGAGCGTGGATTCAAACTTGCAACCTACTGATTACAGGACAAACTCCCTACCTCCTGAGCCACTGTCACCCTGGTGTGCACAACACCCTCTGTTTAGTTTGACACTGTAAACAAACAACATGTGTTTTTCACATGTTACTGAGCAAATATGTTTGCAGAGCACCTTGACCTCATGCTGAAGCTGCTGAACACATCAGTCTGTCGGGAACTGATTAACCAAAGCAACACACTGGTTCTATTGAAAAAACAGCAACAAACTAAGTAAATGATGTCAAATACACAGAGGTGTCTGAAGTATTCACATCTATTACTCAGGTAGAAGTATAGATACTAGGGTTTACTCAAGTAAAAGTGTAAAAACTGGTTTTAAAACTACTTCATTCATGAAAGTAAAAGTAAAATAAAGGAAAAAAAACTTCAACTCACAATCCCACCTGAACGTTTCAGCTTCAACTTGTCCTTGCTAGAGGGCAACAAGATTTGTGTCATACAGATGTGATGGATCACATACAGACGGTGGACGGTTAAAAGATAAAATGAAAACAAGAAATACAAAATGAGACAAGGCTATATTTTAAACTTAAGGAGTAGAAGTAAAAGGTTGGCTTAAAAGCAATTACTCCATATGTATAGATAGCCAACACTTCTAATTAAGAAAAGTAACTTTGTTACACCTCTACATGTAGCTAATGTAGCTTTCTTTCAYGTCAGAATGACTTTATTTAGAAGTAATTGCTTATTTAGYCATGAGACACAAGATAAAGCAGGCTCTCATTTAGCTAACCATTAGCTAACCATTAGTCTAGCATGGAGGAAGCTCTATGGTGTATGACTTGTTAATAAGTTACTGTTAACTAACTGACTGAACGTTACTTCAAAAATGGCCAGACTATCCCCTTTAAACATACGTTATCCTTCCAGCAGTTGGTATAACTTTGTCATTTAACTGTTGAAGAGGTTGTACACAGCTGGCCCTCTGCAACATCACTGGGTGTTTCCAGAATGTCTCAAAGTTTGTAGGTTTTGTTACAAAATTGAGACTGCACCGCACACATATTTAGAGAAGCAGCAGCTGCAACAGTTTGGCACAGAATAAATTAAGCAATTTATAGCTGTCAGTGGTTGAGAAACAGAAGTAATAAGTGGGAACTTTTCTCTTATTCTTGTTTTCCTTCTTTCACGTTTGGTCACATTTCAAGCGTTGGTCTTGAGAMACTTTGTTCGGCCAGTTCTGTAAGACGTTACTGGCAGTGACACATAAAGGATATTTCCCACTTGAACAATAAAAATAGCACACACACACAAAAAAAAAACCCTCACCTGACTGGGTTTTCTTTAGGCTTGCTTGTAAGATGGGGGAAGGCAGCTAGAATGAATTCATCATGGTGACCAAAAAATGTGTCAGATAAGCATTAACATAAAAACTCAGATTCAGATTACAGTCCTAAACTAACTGATCTGTAATACAATTTGTTGGATTAGAGCAAAATAAAACAAGCCTAAATAACATAAGTGGTCTTTTTTTATCATATATAATGGTGTAGCAGGCAGTATTTATTTGGTTTTAACGTTATAATATTTCAGATTTAAAGAGATTTAACACCATACTTGAGTACAAAACCACTTTGGTAATAAAGTGACATCGTCCTAAGTATTTAACATAAAATGCTTAATAATTTTAAATTTTAAAGATTGCTTTTCCAAAAAAAATTACTCAAATACAGAAACTTTCTACAAAAAGAAAAAAAAACATGCTTTTTTCACAAACAGTTTATACCAATGAGTATACAGATAATATGAAAAAAAAATGAGGAAAAGATACACATTGTTTTTAAAAGTCAAAATCTATTCCGGGTTGAAYGGAAAACTCTAGCTGATTTAAATAATGTTCAAACTTCCCATTTAGCTTTGGAGAGTTAATGTGTTCTTTCTGCTGACTTGTCTTTTTCCACACTTTTTGTACCATGTGGCAGGTAGAGCAGTGATTCTTATCTCCACTTCCTGCTGCATTCTCTGTGGCTCCAGTCAAACCAGCCTCATAGGTGCGGCTGCTGCTTGGTCACTTTATTCACAATCTGCAAATGAAACAGCTGCAGAACTGGTCCTGTCCACACTCCGTCACAGTTTGCAAATATCATTGATGTTTAACAATATGACAACCTGTCAGATTCCACGCTTTTTGACTACTTATCCAGTCATGCTCACTAATTTTTGAAAAAAATATATATATTTTTAGTTTTTACTTGCAGCCAAATACTTGTACTGGTCAATAACAACCAGTCCTTTTTCTACACTTTTAAAAATCAGTCTGAATTTTTGACACCTTTTTTAACAGAAAACTCAATTCTCCATAATTAATAACCCTGATTATTAACATGTTGAACATTTCTTTAATCATTATCAGGTTTTTGTATGAGTTACATTAACAGTTTCAAATTATGCCGACACATGGTTCCCTGTTTTCAAAAGCTGCGTTTCACTTGACATCAGGGTTCCTTTATTTTTAGGGACATGTTGGAAACTTTAAAGGTTTATCACCCTGGAATCTAACCTTTAGTTCTTTGTTTGGAATTGTTGTTTTTAATAGTTACAATCTAACACTAAAGTTTAACGTGTGACCTTTTGGAGACGGCAGTGTAAAGGAGCTCCTGGATGTGGGGGAGTGAGCACACTGCAGTGGTTGCTGATTTACATTCTCATTTGTGTTTTTTAAGTTTTTGACATTAGAACGTATTCGAACCATGTTTGAACTTTTTGTGACTCAGTCAGGCATGAGGATGTTTTGAATGTTGTGACACTGGAAACAAGAGGGAGACAGGAATTGATGTGAAATGTAACAAATGAAAAAGCACAAATTTAATTGATTAGATAAATGGTTTAGAATGATGCCATGAGAAGGAAAGGGATTTTTTTACTTTGCAACTTTCTGTTCCCATTCAAATTTATTTTGGGTCAATTGTGTGTCTGTACATGGTTTTTTATTCCCCTTTTTCTACACTCATCAGTTTTGGTTTTGTCGATATGAAAAGGCCAAACTGTATTTCTATTTTTCTTTTTCCAACATGCCTTTTAAAGGGATGTTTCAAGACATTAGTGAGTGCAACACATTTACTACTGGGCTCATTAAAACATGTATTCTTTCTATAAATTCATATTCATAAATAAAGTTGGCATGCCAAGTTTTAAACAAAGATCTTGTAATTTGTTAGTATGTGTTAGGCTGACTTTCAGCTCTTATCACACTAAATTTTAGCTCAGTAAATGTAAAATGGACTGAAATACAGCCATTTTTGTGTTTTCTATGGTCCGTTAGCTATAGTGGCTATTTTAAAGGGGACATATCATGAAAATCCTCTTTTTTTTTTAGCCATTAAAGGCATTTTGTTGTGTATTTGGAGTGCAGAAAAGTGTGAAAAGAAGAATTAAAAAGGTTAATTTGTCCCCTTTAAATTGGGCTGACTTCAAAAGTTAATCAGTTGTAGATGTTACTTTTTGAGAGTTTTGTTAAAATCTGTCCAGTGGTTTATGAGATATTTTGCTAACAGATTAATTTGGCATCGCCAGGGGGACRAGCAAATTTTAAAAAAATGTGGCCACCTTGGACAAAAGATAAGACAATAATTGTTCATAATAATTACATTGACCCCCTCTTAAATCCCATCACTGTAATGATTTTTAATCCAGATTAACTCTCTTGGATTCTTTTCCATTATTTTCAGGAAAACAAGTCCGATGTTAGGGCAATGAGGGCCCGCTTCCAAACAGGTGGATCATGCACAGATGAGAGCTCCTCTCCACCAGTTGGACGCATTAAATCGCCCCTGCAGCCCACCCTCTCTGGTCCAGCGGCTCACAAAAAGCCTGTCTTGGAGAGCCTATCGGCCAGTGGCATAAACGTAAAGCCATCAACTCTGAAAAGCACACCGTCCAGTAAAAGTGACTCAGACGCACCAGAAGCAAACAAAATCAAAGCCATGGCTAACCGGTTTGCTCAAGCTCAGGACGACAGCACCAACAAACCTTCGGTTGTTAACAAAGTGCCGACGACGCTGAAATCACATTTTCCTCCACCTGTTGAAGCTAAAGGTCCTGGTCATCCATCTCCTCTGAACAAACCCGCAATCAGCTCCACTCCGTCTGATCCCAAACCTGTGTTTCCAAAACCCCCTGGTTCACTTAACTCGAAGCCTAACTGGATGAAAGAAGAYAGCGGTGGGGGCACAGCAGTGAACKCAACCCCGACGCCCCACAAAATGCCTGCCCCGCAACAAAAGCCGATCAGCGGCGTTCGAAAAATGTGGCAGCAGAGTGACGAGCAGGCAGAGGCGAACACAGACACTGTGAACAAACCTTCACCTCAAGTCACTCCTGCTTTTAAGCCCCCCACCAACTTCAGGACTGCTCAGAATATGTTCAACAAGGAGAAAGACACGTCTGAGCAGAAAGAGAGCGGTCCGGTCAGCAAGTCACCCTTCACAGCTTCTAACGCCGCTCCACCGCCAAAACCGCCTGCCAGTAAAAAGCCCAGCATTAAAAACCCAGCGAGGTCTGCTCATAAGGCTGTCAATGGCGATGTAGCCGGAGGCCCAAAGCGAAACCCTCTGCCCAACAGTTTAGCTTTGGGGCCTCCTCCTGCTAAACCCAACAGACCCCCCAAAGTAGACCTGGCAAACTTTAAAAGAGGTGCAGAGCCCCCTGAGAATGGTAAGTACAGGTTTGTTACTATTAAGCTTTTAAGTGATCTGTAGTCTTGAGTTTGTAAAATATTAATATGCTCCACCAAAATAATAGCCTGGCCCTTGCCTTCCTATGCAGTACCGCTTAATTCTAGTTTCTCTTCATTTACAAAGCAAAGTGAAAGACAAGGGTCTGGTTTTTATCAGGCTACCAAAATATAACAAGCAATGAGATCACACTTTCATGCCCCTCATGAACATTTTACTTTGAGGCAGAATGTTTATCTTATCCTGCAAACTACAAGATCCAAAAGTTTGTTTAGATAAGTTTATATTTCTTTTCCATGACACATTTGGTATTACAATTATGACAATGTCTGTTTGTTGTGCAAAGTTAGGACAAGAAGATCGCACTTAGCACAAAATTTGAGCGCAGTTAACATAAAATGTTAGCACAAGAATATAGCACAGGTAAAATTAGCATGAAAAGATAGCATAAAGTGTTAGCACAAGCAAAGTTAGCACAACAAGACAAGTCATTTTTGTCTTTGCTTTGAAAGTCTGCAGAAAATCACTCCAAAACAAAACTTGCACTTTATAACATTTTAGATGAACAAACAGACTAAACAGAAAGAATGAGTTGATGCAAACAACTCAAAAGAGGCTAAACGGTTTGCATTCACAAACTTTTGGTCTCCATTGTCTCATTGTTTCTTGTGAACAACACTTTCTCAAAGCTTAGCTGGGTCCAGTTTCTCAACGGGTAGTTTGCACGTCTCCAGACTGTCGGAGGAGGAAGGTCTCTTATTTTATCATCTTAAGTATATTTCCTGTAGATCATAAAAAGTGCAAAGTTTTGTTTGTGTCGTTGTGCATGTTGGTTCATGTCAGAAGTGTGAAAAACAGCTTGCTTCACAAGTCTGTGCGGTTCAAGTGCCGTTAGCAAAAATTAGCCTGCAGTTGTTGGGTATTAAAACAGCAATGCACACTTGTTGTAAATAAAGCTTTTTATGTGTTTGAGACAGGGACATTATAGTATAAGGGTAATTATATCTGAAGGTTAGATCTCGTAGTCTGCTCATGTTTTACAAATGCTGCTTTGTTCAAAATTTTCTGATAAGAGGCACAAGTTACAGAAACACATTTGGTTCCTCTATTAGCTGCAACCAAGTTCCCCATCCAGTTTCTCCTTTCTCTTTCCCCCTGACAGCTGAGCTTGCTTCACCACAAGGGGGAAGTAAGTTCCAGCAGAGTGATGGGTTTAAACTAGAGGAAGGTTTTGGGACTTGAACTTCAGCTGAGTTTATTTTGGGCCAATGGGGAATCGTGACTGTCRGCCTAAATCAATGAGGAAATACAAAATAACAAACTAACACAATAAGAACCTTTTTTGAAGCTTTGTGGAGAATTTGATTATTAAAGGTAATTGTGGATTGTTTTCAAAGTTTGCTGTATTTTAAGCAGGGATTTAGACATGTCAAAGCAGGAAGTGAACACCACCATGAAAAGTAGGTGACAATGGCATCACTGTGTCAGTTTGACAGTTAGAAAAATCTATTAAAAGCATCTCACGAGTGGACAAGTGTTGAAACTCTCAGAAAGTAAAGTTTAAGATTTGGAGTCAATTCACTTTAAAATAGCCACTACAGCTAATAAACCTTAACAGACACAACATTGGTTTCATCTTAGTCAGTTTTACAGATATTTGACTAAATGTGGTGTGATAGTAGCTGAGAGTCATCTCAAACATGTAATCTGAGATTCAACAGGTTACATAAGATCTTAATTAGAAATATCTTTTTGCATGGCAGCAGCAATTCTTCAAGAAATGTTAGTCTCAAATTCATTCTTTTAACATTTTATTTTCATTCTGTTTGTTTTTTATGTTTTGTGTACTTATATGTGTGTGTGTGTGTGTGTGTGTGTGTGTGTGTGTGTGTGTGTGTGTGTGTGTGTGTGTGTG